ACATAAACATACGTAGTCTACGAAATAAGCTTAATTTTCTCCAAAACTTTACTGACGAATTTGATATATTAACTATAACTGAAACTCATTTGGATCCAAGTGTTAACATTGACGATTTGCAGCTTTCCTCATTTTCAAAGAATATAATCCAAAAGGATCGTAACAGTGCCGGCGGAGGCATTGTCATCTATGTAAAGGATGATATATCCGTCGTACGTAAAGGTGAACTCGAAAACCACATTGATGAGACAATATGGGTAGAGATTAAAGGTAAAGGTCAGTCATTTCTTCTTTGTTGTACTTATAGGCCTGAGTGGACGGACAATGACTATTGGACAAGACTTAATTATTCGCTGGGATTGAGTTACCAACTAAGCGAGAATATTGTGATAACAGGAGATTTGAACTCTGATTTATTTTCAATCCATAATAATAAATTATATGATACAATGAATCTTTTTAATTTAGAAAATGTAATAAATAAACCGACAAGGGTGACTGGACACAGTTGCACATTACTAGACCCGATAATAATCAGCGACACAATTAAATATTCTGTTGCCGACGTACTTAAATTACCGTCGGAAATAAGTGATCACGATGCTTCTTTAATATTTTTAGAATGTCCGAGATTTGCATCCAAATCATTCAAAAGAGAAATTTGGTTGTACGATAAAGCAGATTTAAAAAAATTTTCTTCCGGACTTGATTCTGTCAGTTGGGATGCACTTTTTTCTGATGTTGAGGATGTCGACGAGATGTGCAATACATTTACTCAAAAAATCCTTGACATCGCAAGGCAGAGCATCCCAACTCGACATGTTTATATACGAAACAATGACAGACCATGGTTTGACAACGAGTTAAGGAAAGAAATCCGCAGAAGAGATCGATTTCGTAAAAACGCCTTAAAAACTAAAAAAGATTCTGACATTAATAAATACAAAAAGCAGAGGAATAAAGTAAATAATTTGAAAAAAGCTGCAAAAGAAAAATTTGAAAGAAGCTTGGATAATATCATCTTAAATAACGTGGCTAACCCTAAAACTTATTGGAAGATAATGAAAATGCTTATGAAATCCAATAAGGGTTCTGGTGATTTACCACCACTTAATAATATTATTCACGATGAAAGTATGGAAGATGTAGTGTACGGAGACGACGAGAAATGTAATCTGTTGAATAAATATTTTAGTCTAATTTCTTCCCTAGAGGAGGAAGGTGTTCCCATCCCTGAAGTTGAACCAAGAACCAATATTGTTTTAAATGATTTAGTAATTGAAAAATATGAAATAGTTGATATAATTAAAATTTTAGATCCTAATAAGGCATCTGGTCCAGATGTCATAAGTCATAAAATGCTGAAAATGTGTCCTGAAAAAATAGCAATTCCTTTAAAAATAATATTTAATAAATCCCTACAACAATGTAAATATCCCACCAGCTGGAAGACTGCAAATGTAATTGCTTTTTTTAAAAAGGGAGATAGTTCTCTACCATCTAACTATAGGCCTATATCGCTTATAAGTTGTGTAGGGAAAATAATGGAGCGAGTTGTTTATAAACATGTCTTCAATCACCTACATAGAAATAAGTTAATATATGAATACCAGTCTGGTTTTCTTCCAAAATGTTCAACAGTTCACCAGCTTTTAGAAATTTACAACTGTATTTTAAATTCACTAGAAAATAAAGAAATTAGCTGTTTCGTTTTCTGTGACTTTTCTAAAGCTTTTGATAAAGTTTGGCATCAAGGATTGCTATATAAAATGAAGTCATACGGTGTGGACGGGAAATTACTGAATTGGTTTAAAAGTTACCTGAACAACAGACAACAGCGAGTTGTTATTAAACAATCGTCGTCAGAGCTTTGCAGTATTTCAGCTGGTGTCCCACAGGGTTCTGTTTTGGGACCGCTCTTATTCATTAATTATAATATATATATAATTATATTAATGATATTGCTGAAAATTTGATATCTTTATGTAGATTATTTGCAGATGACACATCTCTCAGCTACTCTAGTCGTGACACGTCACAAATAAAATCAGTGATCAGTCACGACCTGAGTGAGCTGAGCGATTGGTCTAAGAAATGGCTGATGTCCTTTAACCCAGAAAAAACAGAAATTATGTTGTTTTCATACATTGAAACTCCGGAAATGAATTTCATATTCAATGGTAAGAATATTAAAGTTACAGATTTTCATAAACACTTGGGTGTTACATTTAGTAGAGATGCTAAATGGAACACTCATGTGGAAAGTATCATAAAAAATGTATCGAAACATTTGAATGTACTTAGAAAACTAAAGTACAGATTAAGTAGAAATAACTTAGAAAAGCTATACTTGACTTTTATAAGACCGTTACTCGAATACGCCTGTGAAGTTTGGGATAATATGGGTGTGGGTTATTGTAACAAATTAGAGCAGCTGCAGCTTGAGGCAGCCAGAATTGTAACAGGTCTTCCTATTTTTACTAGTAGTAGAATTATTTATGATGAGATTGGTTGGGAAACTCTAGCTGAACGAAGAGAAAGGAGGAAGTTACAATTATTTTATAATATTCAACATAATAATGCACCAGCCTATCTTTGCAATTTAATTCCACCAACAATCCAAAGTACAGCTGTTTATCCCTTACGTAATGGGAATGATATAATATACCCTTTTTGTAGACTTTCATTGACCCAAGAATCCTTCATACCTTCAACTATACGACTGTGGAATAACCTTAATGTGCTGACCCGCAACATTGACTCTTTAGGTAAATTCAAAACTGAATTAAAAAATCTTAAACTAAATTCAAAAGCCTAAGTACCCAAACATTATAAATTTGGCAATCGTAAACTCAACATCATTTTGACTCAACTTAGATGCTCAGCCTCGTTTTTGAATTATGATCTTAACAGAGTTAATATAATTACAGATCCGTCTTGTAGCTGTGGTGCTAAGCGTGAAGATTCATTTCACTTCTTTTTTGAATGTCCTAATTATACGAATATAAGAATCAAACTATCTAATAATCTGAACTGGTTACCAGAGAACTCTCTATTAAATTTGAACATCTTAACCTCCGGTGATTCGTCATTAACTAATGATGAAAATGAAAGAATTGTAAAGAATGTATATGAGTTTATTAAAGAGTCAAAGAGGTTTCTAATTGTGTAATACAGCACACTAAAGTGCATATACATGTATATTGTGTACAACCATTCACATCATCACACATCATCTTTTACATATCCAATATATACAATGTATTGTTTGCATGCATGCTTTGTAAAAAATTCTATTGTTATAAATTGTTCATGGGAGAAGACTTCATAAGTTTGATTAACTTGTGTCTCATCCCTTTTGCATATTTAAGCAAATAAAATATGTTTAAACTAAAAAAAAGCATCTGCAGCTCTTTTCACAAAAAATCTTAAAATGTTCATGACTTACTTAGACGCTTAAAATACGTCTCATTAGGATCTTTTTGAAATGGTTTACTGTATATCATTTAAAATATACCTGTGACCCTGCGAACAAAGTTTGCATTTTCGCATGTTGAAATATAAGTGAAAAGTTTAAACTCTCTCCAACGCTCTCTAATGTGGAATATGCTATTTTAAAAATGTAGGTCTGCTCTTCTGAATTATCCAACAATACTAGAAAGAAAATGGTTTAGTAGTTAAAACACTTCTAATATGGTGGTTGTGTGTGTGCTTCCAATACGAACTTTTGACATGCATACTTGTGTATTGGCGACAACGAAGGAGATTTTAGATGCAGATATTTCATGAGTGAATTTTATTGAATTTTATTGAAGTTTATGTAATGCTTGTATATTTAATATAAAGTTCCAGTTAAGATCAACCCAACTTCATGACAATATTGCCCATAAAACCGAACTAAGAGAGAAGTAACTAAGGGGGAGTGTTGGGCATTACTTTCCATAACGTCCATATTTCAATACACTGATTTCATTCATGAAATGGGGAATTTCAATCCGATGCCTCGTGAAGTACAAATGCCACGCTTCCTTCACGTTAAAGAATCATGGCAACCACTCTACGATCTACGAGGTGACAGTATGTGGCCTGTCGCAAGGCAAAATTGCTGTTTCTATTCAGCATGTCATCATTATCCAGTGGCAGCAGGCCATATTTCCCACCCTTCACCGCCTTCTATATACCTCGTATAGAAACTAAACCTGCCTGTCAGTATTGATTAATTTTTAATTTGTGCTCGTCCTGAGGACACAAGAAATATTTGTCACTGGACGTTTAACAAACAATAATTCAATCAATCAATTGTATGTCTAATGCTATTGTGTCAGCCTAACGGTGAAGACCGTTACAAGGTATGTATAGGAATTGGGTTTTTTTTATCATTTGAAAGATATATACGTTAATCAACCATTTACCATACTATGTGTTATGTTTCTAAATGACAATTTAGATTCAGAAACAACCAACTAATGTACCTATATCAAAATGTTTCCTGTTAGTTAATGTGGTTTTATTTTATCAAAAAAGGTTGGATAGAAAAGGTTTGGAAATTTGTAAATAAAACAAAGATAAAGGATGAGATTATAATGTAAATAGCTCTGTATTTCGAACTTTTGTATCAGTCCTTACTCCAGCATTTTGCTATATGATTAGACAAATACATATTCCTTTAACTATCTTTTTGTAAGAATTTATACGTTTGAAAAACCTACAATTATTAGTTGTTTTTTTTTCAACCCTAAAATAGCTGAATAACATTTCTTTTGTTTGTTCCGTTTATCAAATGACAAACAACCTTATTGCATATGTTAGGAAGACAATACGTTAAAATCTTAAATAATCCAACAAGTAAACCCTTGCAATTCGTTGATCTTTAAACACCTGGCACTCTTCTTTTAACGACAAAAACAATAGTATGACCGAAAATCAAAAGTGTATTATTTCAGCTGTTTATAATTGTTAAATGATACGTTAATTGAAATAAAGAGCTTGTCGAGTATTTTTTTTAATTAATGCATTATCGCCCTTGCTTTCGTCCTGTAAAACAGAAAGGAATATATTTGATCCAGATTGTTAAAGGTTGTTGTGAGACTAATTCAGTTTAAGCGGAATGATTTTTATGTCAGATAATAATAAAACAGTATGAAATTTACAGAAACCTCGAAAGATGGCGGGAGACTTACTTATGGATAATACTTTTGATTTTGATAATTTTGGACTGAAATTCTCGGCTAAATATAAATTCCGTAAGTAGATATTGTTATTTGAAGTGAATAAAAATATACCGATCATATTATCATGCAATGTTTTACAAAGCGGGATGATCTAATATTGAAAATAAAGAATTAAATGTAATATCCAATAATATTGCGTTGACTAGAGTATTTCACTGTATTGATATTCGGAATGATTGTCGATTTAGTCAATCTTTCGGTTCTATGTCTGAAAAATGGCAGTAATTTTTAATTTATTCGTTACTTTCATCAACTTATTTTCGTCTCTAGAAATAAAACAACTTTCAAATTCAGTAAAATAATCTTTGACACTAATTCATTTTTATAATAACTTTAAGTAAACACTATGAGCTTGAAACTAGTCAATAAACAAAACTGATTTAAGAGAAAGGTCATTAAGCTCCATAATTTTTGAAAATTTATCAAGACATAATAAATGTATGCCTTTTTGAGCAGATTATATGTTGACTGCACCGCTGCACTCTTATAATATCAACCCTTCTGATTTACTTATTGAAATTCTTTACTTTGCTTTGATCAGTATTACAAGTGTTAATACAATGGAATAGTATTAGTTATGATTGTTAAAAGTTTATTATTATGTTTCTTTTGTTCGTGAAATACTTATATAAACTAATTGACTGTTATTAATTGACTATGGAATTCATTATTGTATCCAATTTCAGACTTTTTCAAACTTGTCTAGCTTACTAGATTATAAAAGACATATTGACCCCGTAATTTTCCACACATATCACCCCACTAACTTTCAAAATAATCTACAAAAACAATCAGAATGATTTTCCAAAATAGGTTAAAAGGTTTGTCTGTTCCTCATATTAATATGTGTTACATTGGAATATGAAATTGTTAGAAATGTAACAAATGAAATACTGCTTAGAAGTTGTTAGTTTATTAGACTGGTTTTTCTGCTCAATTGAATATGCCATTTGTTCCGTTAAAATTCGAACTAATCAAAAATTAAAAATCCAAAGCGTTTATTTTGCAATACACATCTGTTAATTCTGTGTAACTTAAAAGTTATTTTGAATATTCAAATTGACGGTCGTCCCTATAAACTTATTATGTCATTTAATAATACATTTTGTACCTTTGTACCATTATATATCGTCTTTGCAGCTCAATTATGTACAAAATGTGGTCAGTACAGTGGAGAAAGACACAAGTATTGTCTTGTATGTGTAGACAAGATGAGAAGACATCCGTCATCAGATGTAAGTATTCAGTGTTTTTATGTGGTAAGACAGCAGTGCTTTTTTATGTGGTAAGACAGCAGTGCTTTTTTTTATGTGGTAAGACAGTAGTGCTTTTTTATGTGGTAAAACAGTAGTGCTTTTTATGTGGTAAGACAGTAGTGCTTTTTTATGTGATAAAACAGTAGTGCTTTTTTATGTGATAAGACAGCAGTGCTTTTTTATGTGGTAAGACAGCAGTGTTTTTATGTGGTAAGACAACAGTGCTTTTTTATGTGGTAAGACAGTAGTGCTTTTTTATTTGGTAAAACAGCAGTGTTTTTTTTATGTGGTAAGACAGCAGTACTTTTTAATGTGCTAAGACAGCAGTACTTTTTTATGTGCTAAAACAGCAGTACCTTTTTATGTGGTAAGACAGTAGTGCATTTGTATGTGCTAAGACAGCATTACTTTTTTATGCGGTAAGACAGAGGTTCTTTTTTATGTGCTAAGACAGCAGTACTTTTTTATGTGCTCGGACAGCAGTTCTTTTTTATGTGCTAAGACAGCAGTACTTTTTTATGTGCTAAGACAGCAGTGCTTTGTTATGTGCTAAGACAGCAGTGTTTTTTTATGTGCTAAGACAGTAGTGCTTTTTATGTGGTAAGACAGCAGTGCTTTTTTATGTGCTGAGACAGCAGTACTTTTTTATGTGCTAAGACAGCAGTGCTTTTTATGTGCTAAGACAGCAGTGCTTTTTTATGTGCTAAGACAGCAATACTTGTTTATGTGCTAAGAGAGCAGTGTTTATCGTGCACCTCGTTACTTGTATCGAAAAGCGTATTCCACGCAACAAAAAACAAAAAAAATACAACATCTAAACACCTTGGTTTAACTGCCTTACCGACCTCCTTTTGAAAAGTAAACTAAATTTCATTTTGAAAATTTGTTAAAGTCTGAGTTAAGGGAATTATCTAGACGTATTTGTCTTTTTTTTAAAGTTAAGAACTGACAATCTTTGAAGCGTCATTAATAGATTCTTTACGTCAAAGCTACATGAGATTTAACAATAATCACACATATAAAATATTCATGTCTTCTTACAGTTTATATCTAATTTGGGAAATTTTTATATCGTTTTTATATTCGGTTAACATGTAAAGAGTATACAAATCGATTTAAGACGATAATTAAACAATGTGTAAAGATGAAGTCCCAATAATCAAATATATGATGCGGATTCTGTTTATTGTTTTTGGTTGTTTTTATTTCTTCTTTTTTTTTTTGGGGGGGGGGGGGGGGGGGGAGGGGGTGTCTTGGTTGTTGTTTTTCTAATTCTCCTGGTCAACTGAGATTTCCTTATAAATTAAAAACAACACCAAGATTGCAAGTAACTTATTCATATGATATGAATGGCAAACATATATTAACTTTTCTCTAATTCTTCGTCAATTTATCCCTTTCTGCACCCATTGTATAAAAAAAATTTAATCAACGTGTGGTTCGTTTGATCTCAGTTCTTCATTGGTTAAAATCCGATTATGACGTCGAATTTTCTTGCTTTCCTCTGAATTTCCTATTGTGACGGCATGAAAAAAGGCGACCATGCCTGATGACGTCACATAGAAAGAACACATCTTTTTGCAGATCATTCAAAAAGAAGGAATAACTTTGCCTGCATATTGTTTGAAAATCATTAGAGAAACAGATTCCACCACCAAATCTCGTGTAATACGATATTTATCCACTCTCGACAGTTAAATTTTAAATATTTAAAACGCTCGGCGAGCCTCGCGTTTTAAATTTGAAAATTTAACTGTCTCGAGTGGATAAATATCGTATCACACTCGATGCAGTGGTAGAATCTATATATATATAATCTGAAACCGCTTCAAATTCATTATTGTTGTTGTTATAATTTGTCCGCTGTGAATCTTGAAATACAGGCATACTATCGTAATAAATATATTAGTAATCCGGATATCAGATGCCATTTTCGAAGTGCACTGTTTGGTCTTTCATGTGAAATTTTATAAAAAAAATAACAAGCAGTAGCTTGTTTATATATGATGTCCCTCTATTCTTATTTTCCACATTGAAATAAGAATAGAGGGGCATCTTATATAAACTACTGTTATTGTAAAATCGTGTGAATAAGAAGAAGAACAAGTGAAAATAAGTTAAAATGTTAAGTAATATTTCCTAAAAAAAAAACTGTAACATAAAAACAATACATATTGAATAGAAAAAAGGGGGTCTATTCCACAAGCGCCTGTGATTTTAGCCAGTATTTCAATTAATCATAATTTTTGTACAATACTTAAAAAAAAATTGAAGCTACCCACTTAATCTATTTTTACAATTAAGAACTACAAGGGGTGCCACTAGCGGAACATACACTGCTTACACTTCCGGGACACCTGAGTTCAGACCCGGTTTTTTTAGTGATGTGTGATACTTTAACTTTGGTATTTTATGGGCTGTGTGTTAGTCTTTTTTGGATATGATGGTGTCTGTCTTTCTTCGACTTATGGTTTGTGTTTGCCTCTTTGTAATCTACATCAACATTGTGTAATAGTTCTATCCTTCAAAAACATGTTTAAAGGTTGTATATATTGAATCCGATCCTTGGAGTGTGTGAAATCATGTAGTAATGTAACCCGGGAACAACAAACCAGAAACATTCAAAATCAAAAGGGAGTTTTCTTTAATCAATCCGTTTTCTCTATTAAATCCCATAATACTGGAATGACAAACAAAAATATTCAAAATCGAAAAGGAGCTTTCTTTTATCAATCACAACAACAGTGTATAGTTTTTCGCTCTTGTACTCTTGAACGACACACCAAAATCGAAAGGGAGCTTACGTCTGTTAATCTTTACGTGGTGTTAAAATTTTATGAGAATTGTTAAAAGCAAACTTGAGTCATTGTACGAAGTGTTGCCATTCGGGCGGGTGATCAATCGGACGTACGGAAGGACGGACGGACGAACGAACTACGGTATACCATAATGCGTCCCTAATGCAGGTGTCATACTGTCCCGAAATTGACACCAGATGGCCATACGAAGATGGAATTTCGAATTTCGCACGAAGATGTTGCCGAACTGGTTTAACAGCCAATCATCAGCCGAAGCAAGTACGATGCATACAGAAAGTCACACGATGGCACATGAATCATACACGAAGGCAACACAAAGATGTGAATTTTTATTACGACGTTTATACGCAGGACACACGAAGGAGACACGATGATTATACGATATCGTATTGAGAGTACGAAGTGTTCGTACAGACAATCCCTCCCTTCTCGACTTACGCTATCAATCACTCTACGACACCTGGACTGCGGCGACAAATATCCAAGCCTGTCCTTCAACTTCAGAATTGCTCCAAACACCATCGCCCTTATCATCAATGATATCTGCGATGCCACCAAAGCCGATTTTGCTTGTGTTTCCTTCGTGTGTGGTTCTGGTGACCTTCTGTAGGCATCGTACTTGCTTCGGCTGATGATTGGCTTTTAAACAAGTTCGGGACCATCTCGTGCGAAATTCGAAATTCCAGAATTGCTCCAAACACCATCGCCCTTATCATCAATGATATCTGCGATGCCATCAAAGCCGATTTTGCTTGTGTTCCTTCGTGTGTGGTTCTGGTGACCTTCTGTAGGCATCGTACTTGCTTCGGCTGATGATTGGCTTTTAAACAAGTTCGGGACCATCTTCGCGCGAAATTCAAAATTCCATATTCGTATGGCCATCTGGTGTCAATTTCGGGATAGTGTGACGCCTGCATTACGGACGCATACAAATGGGAATATTAGTCAACGACCCCTTGAGGTCTGCAAATACAGGTCATGCAAAGAATTTCTCGAAAAAAAACCCATAAAATCAAGGATGATAAAATGTTAGCTGTAAATCTGTAAATGTTATATTCTTCCACCAATAACGTACATAATTTTAAATCATTCTTTTTTCTTACTTTTTCAGAAAATGCAAGATGATTCTTTTGTTGGTATTTTTAGTTCAAGAACACCACGAAAAAGGCCACCTCAAAGTTTCCGTTTTGGTCACACTTTAGCCTGTAAGTTAAGAAATCATAAATGTTACAACTATTTTGGGATTAAGAGTGCCGAAAATATTTTTACATACATTTATATTGTCGTCCTTATATTTTTCAAATGGATTTAAGATGAGGTGTACAAAAGTTGCTTTACATGTGTAATATTCTTTTTGCCCAATCCGAATTTGTAGTTTTTATTATATTCGTATAGTACTCCCCGGAATCTTTGAAAGTAGTCAATATTTGAAACGACATAAAAGAGGCAAATATCACATCTTTTCCCTTTTTATAACATTCAATTTTCAAATATCGGAATATAACCGTTAACATAAATAAGTGTTGCTCACCTGATAAGGACTTCACTTTCTATTTCAAGACAACTAATGTACACTTATACCAAATAACGATACAGTTTATACTGTTTATGTCAAGAGCTATACAAAACATCTTTCCAGGTTGCAGTTGGGCCATTGTAGATCCTGCCCTTGAAATATCGAGAATTACATATGGATTTAAAAACCTTACGTTAGAAGATTTCAATAAAATAGAGTTATTTAAGCAATAAAGTTAGTTAAGAAATAAACGTATTTAAAAAATAAACTTATTTAGGAGATAAAGTTATTATAATTATTAGCATTATCCGTGTGTTACATCTTTCTATTTTCACTTTTATTTTGTAATAATAAACTGGTATTCAATAAAATTGTCTAGTAATTACGAATGGAAATATCGACTGATTCATTAAATGAGTTTTGCTTGTTTAACGTCCAGTGGCAAATGATGTATGTATCTGCTGGATACGAACTATAAATTAACAATAAATCCAAGGAAAGTTTCTGGAAAGTCGGTCAACCTGGATTATGAACTGCCTCAGTTATCTCGTAGTCGCCTTTTTTTATATAGAAGTGCAAGAGGGCGTGGGTTTGGTCCCCGACCGGTCATACCCTAGACTTTAAAATTGGTATGTGCTGCTTCTCCTCTAACCACGCAGCATCAAATAGTAAGAGAAAATATTGTTCGACTCGGAGTATGAATAATGTGTCCAAGTGGGGTGAAAAGTTTTCCAGCGGAAGTTTACCTTGTGAATCAGCAAATACAAGTTTGGTATTTCTGTCTTTTACACAGCAGGGTTCATACTCATATCGCATTTAACTGTTCACGTCCTGAATATGCATATACTTTGCCATGGTAAGAAATGTGTTACCATTGCCTCACAACGGAGACAATACCTTGCATAGGTCAAAAAATTATTTTTTTCATATTTGTCATTTGTTGATTCAAATGCTCGTCTAATGCTTTCAGAACTTCCCAATCTTTCTTTTTTTTTATTTTCGAGCTAAATATATTGATTTGAAAAAATATATCTCTCGGTTTAATAGATGAAAGGAAAATGTGTTTACAAATTTAATTATTAATGTACTTGAATATTTTACAGACAATTTATGTACAGTTTGCAAGTCCGATGAAAAGCAGTTTCATTCCACTTTATGCTTGAAGTGTGATGCCAACAGGAGAGAATTATCAAAAAGTAGAGACACCTCATACTCGGTATGTGCATGTTATTTATTGTGTTGATCACGTGATACGTAAGAAGCAGCAGACGTGGCTAAAAGCTTCTGTCCATTTTAGGAGAAATGCGAAATACTGTATTTTCAAAGCAAGCTTCAACACTTTTTAAGACATGTCCAAATATTATTATAATAAGGCTTAACTGGATGATTTTATTTGTCAAAAATTAGTTTCGGTAGATAATGGAATTACATTTGGAAACTATTTAAACAACCCTAGAAAGATATATATTCCTCAGATATATATGGCAAACACAAACAAAAATACGACTCATCAAATAAGAAGTGTTAACTGTTAGAAAATATTGGTTATTAACAATTGTTATTCAGTCATATTTCAACATGTGAAGTGTTAATCAACTAATTGATAAATATTCTACCGTTTATTTTTAGTAGAGACACATTATTAGCAACAAGAGGCAATGTACTAGTACTCAATCATTACAATGTATGAACGAATATGAATGATAGTAAAAATATATAACAGCGTTTACCATGTATACAAATTCCTATGTGAAGAATTTTACAATTATATTCTTAACCGAACCCCTCCTTGTTAATAAACTAATATTATTATATAATAAGTTCTTAATCACTTTAATAATTCAATTCAATTCGGGTTCAAAATGGTCAAACTATATTTCTCATTTAGCAAAAGTTTCCTTCATCAAATATGTTTTGTCAGAGTAGAGCTACATTTAAGTATGATCTTAATACTTACCGGTAGAATGTTTGGTGTGATACCACTTTACATGTATCCTCGGCAATCTTACATTCAATAAGACACAAGAAAGCGGTCCTTTCACATTTATTGATTTGATATTTACAGTGATATTCGGAAATTTACCTTTTTTTAAGAAGCAGACTTGAACTCATATACATGTAGTTAACGAAATTCGTTTCCAGTTGATTTTTAGTGGAGATGACAAAACCTTTCGTCACTACGAATTCCATATCACCTTCTCGTTTCTATTCAGAGACATCAATTTTCCTTTAATATATTTGGCTGATTTTGCAAATTTGAGGTCGTCAAAATGCATCTGAAAGATTTACGCTTCAGTTTCTAATGTACATAAACCGGACGTAATTATTCAAGAATTGGTTAATTTCTCTAAATAGTGTTAATGGAATCTACGTGTTCTTGTTTCCTTATTCCTTTTTTTTTTTTCACCTTGACCATCGCGAAAGATTGAAATAAAATACCTTTCCATATTTTTAAGATTATCTATCATTATATCTGCATGATATATGTACCACCTTACTATATCCAAATTTTCAACCAATGTTAAAATCTTATAGTGACAGATGACTTATGGAGGTCACCTACTTCTGCAAATAGCACTCTGGTTTTTTGAAAACCTTTAATAAACCGTACAATATGTATACATACAGGTAAATAGCACATCTACCCTATAAATTGTAATGCAAATTCATAGACAAAAATAAAATATTGGTTTAAAATGGTCAAACTATATTTCTCTTTTAGCAAAAGTTTCATTCATGCAAATCATTTGCTTGTTTTAGTAAATAACAACATCAAATGCGCTACGTTTTGTCAGAGTGGGATTACGTTTAAGTATATGCTCCAAATACTGATGGTAGAATTTGTGTTGTGACTATCAAAATATTCTATTCAATAAGTCCATATAACACTTTACATGTACTATCGACAATGTCGTAACATTAAGACACCACTTTGCATGTACTATTGACAATGTCAGTATAGTTGCACATGAAATGTCTGGCAGCAATGAGCAAAGACAACGAGTGTATTAAAGATGCGCACATGTTTCTAGGCATAAACTTGACCAGATTGATTTAGTGGTGTTTGTTTTTTATATCATTTGAATAGATGGAAAGTATTTCATCTATATAACAAAAGCTTAAATTAAACGACTGGGCTAATATCTTTTCATTTTTATATTTTGATAAACCACTGATACGTCCTATTTTACCACTGATACGTCCTATTTTACCACTGATACGTCCTATTTTACCACTGATACGTCCTATTTTACCACTGATACGTCCTATTTCATTCGATTATAGAAACAAACGGACTAGAAGCGATTTATAATTAGTGACCATCAGAATGGAAATTGTCATTGTACAGTCTGTCTCTCTGTTTTCAGCTTTCTAATAGTATCTTCTTCATACTTTTTGTTTAAATAATTAATGTGGTAAATCTTTTTTCTTTCATTAACTAACTAAAGTATCTGAAGATATGAAGTTGGACTGGCACGTGAAAAGAAAAGGATGCAAACAGAATCATGCTGTGCCAAGCAAATGATCCTTTATGATATTTATGTTCAGAAATATTTTACGTTACTGGACGTTAAACAAACGATAATCAATCAATCAACCTTATATTCTGTTTTAATATATATTTGTGTTGTTCAAAACTAATTTTCCCTATTACTTACTGACAAATTCGCGTAAATTTCATTTAAAATTTTGAATGGACATTTCCCTTAAAACTCACCTGAAAATAATATCACTTTCACGTCATATAAATGACAGCTACATATGAACATAGAAAATTAAGATTAAAAACAATACATACAACATGCATGTCTACTCTTCACTGCGTTTTGTACACTGAAGAATTATTATATCAGGATAGAACTCTTGGAACATTCACAGACAAGTAACTCACACAATTCTTGTTCACAGTATTTGAACTACAAAGTGTATATATTCAAATGTTGTTTATGAAATTGTTGTTGCTGCTGGTGTTGTTAGTGAGTTCGTGTGTGCGTTTCTTAAGATCAATAGCTGAAGACTTATAATTGATTCTTTTTTAATGTTTTAGCTACATTCATTTGGAAGTGAGGATTTGGTTTTTGCTCTCAGCCAAAGTTCGTCTTCTTTAGTAGGTTTTGGAAAGAAACCTGGTTAGTATAATTTGTATCATTATAATTATTATCATTATTCAACGTAATGTTGACTGTGTTGATATGCCACACCTATATAAATATCAACATTTATAATTTAATTCCATAATATATTCATAATGCTTCCAGTTTCAATTTTACCATCTTATGTAAAAACAAAGTTATTTACCGATTACATTTGTGTGTTCCAAGACAGATATAGGATGATTCATTATAATTAATTAATTAACATATACAATACAAGTGTTAGTATTGACTTTCGCCGCTTATTGAAACAAGATAGTTTAATTTCACGTACATTTTACGTTACACATGTATTTTATATTTTTTCTTAGCATTTATTAATGTTAAAAGGACAAGTTCTTATCTACTTTAAAAGTACAGAAAAAGAACAACTCGCAAACACAAATTGTCAGGCGATAGACTGAACTACAGTGATCCTAAATCCATAACCTGAAAACAAACATAAATTATTCTATTGGAGTATGTAGAGGCTAATGCAGACAAAGGAAAATAGTGAAAATGAATTTGTAGTCTATTTTTCAAACATAATTTTTAATATTTGAAAAAAAACTAATGATTTGTCTATCTTGAAGCACCAAAATATTACTGAACACCTGTCTTAATTTTTATGACAAATATGTTGTTGCTCCTGCAGACAATTTTAAGGTAACAAATACCTTTTGTTCTGCATGTAAATCACGTTATATTAACTGCATAAAAAAGAATAAGTGTTGACACGATTTCAATTGAAAATCCATTATATAATTTATGTATATTCCAATGATGATTACGGAAACCGGCTTTTGTCTCCGTCAAATCACAATCTGTTGACTTGCAAACAGGTTGAATGGGATTGAAGATTTTACATTTGTAATTTTTTTTTTTTCAGATGTGAAGTGTATAGTGTGTCGAAAGAATGTCATTTTAGAACAAAATGGAATGTTGTGTCAAAAGTGTTTAGCAAAATCGAAGAATGTAAGAAAAATCATTCTGATTTACCAATGCACGACTTGTTTTTTTTTTACTCAAAACATCAGTATATAAATTCGATATCGAGTTTTCTATTTCTTTTAAAATTGAAATGTATTGATGGAAGGCGTCTTCGTAATTTGTACAACTTTTTCATACCAATTGCTACTACACTATATCATGTAATATTGATATGGTTTAAAATTTACAGAAATGACCATGTGGATCCGATGTAATCATATAGGAAAGAACTTTCTATGTCGTCAAATTAAAAACCATAACACTGTTTAATTATAGCTTTAAAACAATTATATATAAAGATTATGCGGTATGGGCTTTGCTAATTGTTGAAGGCCGTACGGTGACCTATAGTTGTTAATTTCTGTATCATTTGGTCTCTTGTGGAGAGTTGTCTCATTGGCAATCATACCGCATCTTCTTATTTTCTTATATATAATTTATTTGTATATACAGCATGCGCCTGTTGGTCGATTTTCCAAGGAGATTGATCGAATAACAAAGGAAGCGGTATCCGTGAAGGAAGAATTCCTTAATATGGAACCAGTTCGTGGGAGCATTCAGTGGGTAAGGCTTTTTCCTTTTAAATGTTAAATTCCTAAAAAAATGTATTACACAAAGTAACAATGGAAACATGTGTTATAGAACTTCCTGTGATTTCGACATAAACAATATTAGCATTTTTTTCGGAGACTTCAAAGCGAAAGTAATTTAAAATACATATACAATGCATAAAAAATACAATGTATAAACATTGTCGGAAAATATAGAATTTATTTGTACGAGCTTTAGAAACAGGACGATAAGCGAGGTTCGCCGAGCCTTTCTCCTGTTTCGTAGCGAGTACAAATACATTTTATATTTCGGATAATTTACATATAAAATTGTGTTATCCTGCAATTTAAACTCGGCCCTTAAAGCATTAGTGGTTTAAATCCAAATCGTTGTCTCTGATTTATCAACGAAATCGATGCGTAGTTTAAACGCGGACCGCTAAGAGGACCCCAACATGAACTGTTACGTAAAAAGGAATATCCATATTACCGCTTGCTCAACATGGAAACGGGATAACAGGACACTTTATTTGTACAAGTACCAATAAAGCAAAAAAATATTTGTGTACCTGTTATTGGTATACTAGCTGGCTGATTGCAGGATAAAATGGATTTTGTGGCCGGACCTCTGTTTGTTTTTACGTAAATATATAAAAGTCAACTCAGTAAGTGCAAATCAAATGAAAATACACGTCATGAATATGGTTATGATTGCAAGAATGTTTTTTTAATTTTGCGACAAATCACTAAAATATTTCATATCTCAAAGCTATTTTTCTTACAACATGTACGATGGAAATTTTTAATTTTAGGAAATATCGTTCAATGCTCGGAGGGAATCATTGAAACATCTCCTGAACAGTATAGTTATAATGCGGTCTAAAAACAAGGAAGAAAAGAATAAACAAGATGATGCTATTTATTATATTAAAACTCTGATTGAAGAATGTACTATACATGTAAGTTTACTTGAAACTTTAAAACGATATAAATGATTAAGATTATCGTGATAAAAAAAAATCTTCCGAGTCTGTCTAGATGTGTGTACATAGTACAGCTACCAACAGGGTGACCAATAACATGAACAAGACAATAACAGATTTAAATCTGAATGTAGGGTCAAAATATACTCGCCACTATAGGAAGTACATTATAAAGGCCAGGTCAATTATGTAATGTACTACTCGAGAAGATTTTCTCCTTTGTTTTAATACGGTTTTCAGTGACCAAGAGATCCCATCTGATGGCCATATTTGGTGACCAATCGGCATCAAAGTAGCAACAATTGACTTGGTGAAGTATATAACAAGAATATTATTATATTATTATAGTATTAGTTGGTTGGAAAGTTCTCAAGACGAATCTGATTTAGTATTATACATATTCCACAATATTAACTTACTCATCCTTTGTGGATGACAGACTCAGTAGCCAAAATAAATAACAAGTGCATCGTATTGAATATTTCTGACATAGTAGGTTTCAGTTGGTTGAACGTTTCTAATCGATTTAACAAAGAGAGCTTTTTTTTTTTTATTATAGCTACCGTGTTTATCATCAGTACCTTCAAATCAAAACCAAGGTTATAAAGATTTCATTCTAATAAGAAACATCTGTGTGTATCTGGTCTCATATACCCCAAAGTCCCAAAAATTTTCAACGAAGCTACAATCGGCAGATACCAGTTGCAAGTGATTGTCACTAAATCAAAAGCCATATGTGTAGAAATATATAAACACATCCAACTATTTATATCTAATGCAAAACACACGAACAATTATTGATAGACTGACTGATTGTTGAAAGCTAAACTCTACATTTGTTAACTTAAACATGGTTAACGATTAGTTAACGACTTCTGGAAATTGGTAATTGGAAGACGTTTGGTCAAGAAAAATGTTATCAAGGTGACGAGTTAGATGACGTAAATACTATCTATTTTAATGTAATGAGCCTCTCTAAATTTAGTCCAATCCGGATTTCTGGATAAAGCATTCATCGGGAATAGTGAAAGACGAACATTGAGAAAACCATTTGTGTAAATAAGCTAGATGAACGTAAGAAGAATAGGCAAAATATATTTTTCTGACGTTATTACGTAGAATGACTTCTTTCGATTATTCTTTTTTTATTGACAACACTTTTACGTTTACTGGATATGTATTTCAACCTACAGGTCTCAATCCCGTCTTCTCTTCTTCGATTATGACATCGTCGAATGCGACTTATCACTGACGCGTGCCACTAGTGAAGAAATACTTGCTTGCCTTTTCAAAGCTGCAAAGTTCACAATCCGGTTTTCAGTGGGGTTCTTGTTGCATATCGTTAAGGTATGTTGTGTCATTTTTCTGTTAGCCATGGCATTGGTTTTTTTTCTCATCGATTTATGGTTGTTGATTGCATCTTTTGGATTTTAAAACAAACAAAAAATATCAATCATTGTCAAATTTAGTTCAATTTGATATTTTAGAATATATCAAACAAAAACAAAACAAAACAAAACAAAATCAAACAAATAAAAAAAAAATAACCCAGATTATAATTTTTTATATTCAAATGCTATAGAAGAAACTTATTTTGGCTCTTTTCGAGCATGGGATAATGTTATTTAGGTGTTCATTATTGTTCCACGATTACACTTTCTTTAACCTGGCATAATACATAATTTTACTTCTTTTTTTACAGTTTGAAAAGTTTCGATTTCGTGTAGACAAAACAGGAAGTGCATTCGCGTATCATAGGCCTTGAAGTTTATTCAATAAAAACCAAACTCAACTACACAATGTAATCTTCAAAAGATGTAAAATGCAATAATAACTTTGTAACTAATTATATGTATAATATATTTGATACTTTTATGTTTATGTTATATATTAATTGTTAGCAATGTTTACATTAAACTAATGACACTGTACATTTTCTTTTTGTACGTGATATCTTTTACTACAAACTTGCTAATATCATTTCACCTAATCATTGTTATGACTGGTGTTGCTCACGTCTATCACATTAACATTGACAAAAAAAAAAGAAACCAAAGATCATCTCAAATTCTCAATGAAGTCATATCTTTGTGTTATGCCGAGAAACAGGGTTTCAGGGTATATATAGCTAGTCAAATACGTTTTGTTAAGATATACTTTTCACTTTTTTTGGTATTTTGGAAAATGTTGTTTGTGCTGTATTTAGACCCCTCTACCAAGAAATTTGTTTTGCTTGCACACGTATACAAATTGCGGTTTTTATCCAACGCAATCATAGCTTTGAACGTTATTTTCAATTTATACTTGGTTGTATATATATATATATATATATATATATATATATTTAGACTTGTTTATATTTTTTCGTTTGGTTCTGTTCATCCTATTTCGACTCTTCAAAATTCAAGAGTCTATCCTAAATTGAGGTAAATTATATGGCCTTTCAAATACCGTTTCGATTCCTAACATCACTGAAGAGACATTAATTGTCGAAATCCGGTATGGTGTACAAATTTTTGCACCTCATGTTTGCGGTATACCATTTTTTCTGCAAGTTTATTGTTTTCTGTTTGGTATTAAATCAACAATTAAGATCCATTTTTTACAATGATCCGTTTATTTGGCAATCGCCAATGGCAGTCAGCAAGGTTTAAGAACATCAGTTGTTCGACCTGTTAGTCAAATGCGTTTTGTTAAAATATACTTTTTCACCTATATGGTCTTTTGGAAAATGTTGTTTGTGCTGTATTTAGATCTCTCTACTAAGAAATTTGTTTTGCATGCACACGTTTCAAAATTGCGGTTTTTATCCAACGCAATCATAGGTTTGAGCGTTGTTTTTAATTTAGACTTGTTTATATTTTTTCATTTGGGCTTGTATTATATTTTCCTTCGGGTTTATAAGATCCGTTCATCCTATTTCTACTCTTCAAAATTCAAGAGTCTATCTTAAATTGAGGTAAATTATATGGCCTTCCAAATACCGTTTTCATTCCTAACATCACTGAAGAGACATTAATTGTCGAAATCCGGATATGGTGTACAAATTTTTGCACCTCATGTTTGCGGTATACCATCTTTTCCGCAAGTTTATTGTTTTCTGTTTGATATTAAATTAACAATTAAGATCCATTTTTTACATCTGGTGATCCGTTTATTTGGCAATCGCCAATGGCAGTCAGCAGGGTTTAAGAACATCAGTTGTTCGACCTGTTAGTCAATGGCGTTTTGTTAAAATATACTTTTTCACTTTTATGGTCTTTTGGAAAATGCTGTTTGTGCTGTATTTAGACCCCTCCACTAAGAAATTTGTTTTGCATGCACATGTATAAAAATTGCGATTTTTATCCAACGCAATCATAGGTTTGAACGTTGTTTTCAATTTAGACTTGTTTATATTTTTTCGTTTGGGCTTGTACTATATTTTCCTTCGGGTTTATATGATCCGTTCATCTTATTTCGACTCTTCAAAATTCAAGAGTCTATCCTAAATTGAGGTAAATTATATGGCCTTCCAAATACCGTTTCGATTCCTAACATTACTGAAGAGACATTAATTGTCGAAATCCGGATATGGTGTACAAATTTTTGTACCTCATGTTTGCGGTATACCACCTTTTCCGCAAGTTTATTGTTTTCTGTTTGGTATTAAATTAACAATTAAGATCCATTTTTTACATCTGGTGATCCGTTTATTTGGCAATCGCCAATGGCAGTCAGCAGGGTTTAAGAACATCAGTTGTTCGACCTGTTAGTCAAATGCGTTTTGTTAAAATATACTTTTTCACCTATATGGTCTTTTGGAAAATGTTGTTTGTGCTGTATTTAGATCTCTCTACTAAGAAATTTGTTTTGCATGCACACGTATAAAAATTGCGGTTTATATCCAACGCAGTCATAGGTTTGAACTTTGTTTTCAATTTAGACTTGTTTATATTTTTTCGTTTGGGCTTGTACTATATTTTCCTTCAGGTTAATATGATCCGTTCATCCTATTTCGACTCTTCAAAATTCAAGAGTCTATCCTAAATTGAGGTAAATTATATGGCCTTCCAAATACCGTTTCGATTCCTAACATCACTGAAGAGACATTAAATGTTGAAATCCGGATATGGTGTACAAATTTTTGCACCTTATGTTTGCGGTATACCATCTTTTCCGCAAGTTTATTGTTCTCTGTTTGGTATTAAATTAACAATTAAGATCCATTTTTTACATCTGGTGATCCGTTTATTTGGCAATCGCCAATGGCAGTCAGCAGGGTTTAACAACATCAGTTGTTCGACATGTTAGTCAAATGCGTTTTGTTAAAATATACTTTTTCACTTTTTTGGTCTTTTGGAAAATGTTGTTTGTGCTGTATTTAGACCCCTGTACTAAGAAATTTGTTTTGCATACACACGTACAAAAATTGCGATTTTTATCCAACGCAATCATAGGTTTGAACGTTGTTTTCAATTAAGACTTGTTTATATTTTTTCGTTTGGGCTTGTATTATATTTCCTTCGGGTTTATATGATCCGTTCATCCTATTTCGACTGTTCAAAATTCAAGAGTCTATCCTAAATTGAGGTAAATTATATGGCCTTCCAAATACCGTTTCGATTCCTAACATCACTGAAGAGACATTAATTGTCGAAATCCGGATATGGTGTACAAATTTTTGCACCTCATGTTTGCGGTATACCACCTTTTCCGCAAGTTTATTGTTTTCTGTTTGGTATTAAATTAACAATTAAGATCCATTTTTTACATCTGGTGATCCGTTTATTTGGCAATCGCCAATGGCAGTCAGCAGGGTTTAAGAACATCAGTTGTTCGACCTGTTAGTCAAATGCGTTTTGTTAAAATATACTTTTTCACTTTTTTGGTCTTTTGGAAAATGTTGTTTGTGCTGTATTTAGACACCTCCACTAAGAAATTTGTTTTGCATGCACATGTATAAAAATTGCGATTTTTATCCAACGCAATCATAGGTTTGAACGTTGTTTTCAATTTAGACTTGTTTATATTTTTTCGTTTGGGCTTGTACTATATTTTTCTTCGGGTTTATATGATCCGTTCATCCTATTTCGACTCTTCAAAATTCAAGAGTCTATCCTAAATTGAGGTAAATTATATGGCCTTCCAAATACCGTTTCGATTCCTACTATCACTGAAGAGACATTAATTGTCGAAATCCGGATATGGTGTACAAATTTTTGCACCTCATGTTTGCGGTATACCACCTTTTCCGCAAGTTTATTGTTTTCTGTTTGGTATTAAATTGACAATTAAGATCCATTTTTTACATCTGGTGATCCGTTTATTTGGCAATCGCCAATGGCAGTCAGCAGGGTTTAAGAACATCAGTTGTTCGACCTGTTAGTCAAATGCGTTTTGTTAAAATATACTTTTTCACTTTTTTGGTCTTTTGGAAAATGTTGTTTGTGCTGTATTTAGACCCCTCTACTAAGAAATTTGTTTTGCATGCACACGTATACAAATTGCGGTTTTTATCCAACGCAATCATAGGTTTGAACGTTGTTTTCAATTAAGACTTGTTTATATTTTTTCCTTTGGGCTTGTATTATATTTTCCTTCAGGTTTATATGATTCGTTCATGCTACTTCGACTCTTCAAAATTCAAGAGTGTATCCTAAATTGAGGTAAATTATATGGCCTTCCAAATACCGTTTCGATTCCTAACATCACTGAAGAGACATTAATTGTCGAAATCCGGATATGGTGTACACATTTTTGCACCTCATGTTTGCGGTATACCATCTTTTCCGCAAGTTTATTGTTTTCTGTTTAGTATTAAATTTATAATTAAGATCCATTTATTACATCGGTGATCCGTTTATTTGGCAATCGCCAATGGCAGTCAGCAGGGTTTAAGAACATTTGTTGTTAGACCTGTTAGTCAAATGCGTTTTTTTAAATATACTTTTTCACTTTTTTGGTCTTTTGGAAAATGTTGTTTGTGCTGTATTTAGAACCCTCTAACAGGAAATTTGTTTTGCATGCACACGTATAAAAATTGCGGTTGTTATCCAACGCAATCATAGGTTTGAACGTTGTTTTCAATTTAGACGTGTATATAACCTATGATTGCGTTGGATAAAAACCGCAATTTGTATACGTGTGCATGCAAAACAAATTTCTTGTTAGAGGGGTCTAAATACAGCACAAACAACATTTTCCAAAAGACCAAAAAAGTGAAAAAGTATATTTTAACAAAACGCATTTGACTAACAAGTCGAACAACAAATGTTCTTAAATCCTGCTGACTGCCATTGGCGATTGCCAAATAAACGGATCACAAGGTGTAATAAATGGATCTTAACTTTAAATTTAATACCAAACAGAAAACAATAAACTTGCGTCGAAGATGGTATACCGCAAACAAAGGTGCAAATATTTTTTGTACACCATATCCGGATTTAAATAATTAATGTCTCTTCAGTGATGTTAGGGATCGAAACGGTTATTGGAAGGCCACATAATTTACCTCAATTTGGGATAGACTCTTGAATTTTGAGGAGTCAAAATAGGATGAACGGATCATATAAACCCGAAGGCAAATATAATACAAGCCCAAACGAAAAAATATAAACAAGTCTAAATTGAAAACAACGTTCAAACCTATGATTGCGTTGGATAAAAACCGCAATTTTTATACGTGTGCATGCAAAACAAATTTCTTGTTAGAGGGGTCTAAATACAGCACAAACAACATTTTCCAAAAGACCAAAAAAGTGAAAAAGTATATTTTAACAAAACGCATTTGACTAACAGGTCGAACAACAAATGTTCTTAAATCCTGCTGACTGCCATTGGCGATTGCCAAATAAACGGATCACAAGGTGTAATAAATGGATCTTAACTTTAAATTAAATACCAAACAGAAAACAATAAACTTGCGGCGAAGATGGTATACCGCAAACAA